GATGTCGTAGTCTTGTAAACCAAGAGCCCAACGGGCGAGACGGCCTGAGGGATCCTTCAATGATGAAAGCCAGCATAGTGCATGATGGTCGGTGACGACATCGAATGGGCGACCATACAAATACGGTCGAAACTTTGTAAGAGCCCAGACGATCGCCAGGCACTCTTTCTCCGTGACGGTGTAGTTTGTCTCAGCTCTCGTGAGCGTACGGCTTGCATATGCTACGACATATTCAGGGAATCCGGGTTTGCGCTGCGCCAGGACAGCGCCGAGGCCTACACCGCTGTCTGTGTGCACCTCCGTCGGGGCCGTAGGGTCGTAGTGACGTAGAATGGGAGGAGATGTCAACACATGGCGGAGCTTCGCGAACGCGTCGTCGCACTCAGACGACCACGAATTGAGGGACCCGTTACTTCCAAGGAGCTTCGTCAGCGGTGATATGATCGTGGCAAAGTTTCGTATGAAGCGTCGGAAGTACGAGCACAGGCCCACGAAACTACGCAGTTCTTTGACGGACGCAGGTTTGGGGAATTCGGCCACGGCCCGAAGCTTGGCTGGGTCAGGAAGAATGCCATCTTTGGACACGACGTATCCAAGGATGGTGAGTTGCCGTGCTGCAAAGCGGCACTTCTTCAGATTTAGTTGCAAGCCGGCATTGCTGACACGTGCAAAAACTTCTTTCAGACGTTGGAGGTGCGTAGAGAAATCTGGAGCGAACACCACAACGTCATCGAGGTAACACAAGCACGTGTGCCATTTCAAGTTGCGCAGAACGGTGTCCACCATGCGCTCAAAGGTCGCAGGTGCATTACATAGACCAAACGGCATGACGTTGAATTCGTACAAGCCGTCGGGTGTGATGAACGCAGTCTTCGGTCGAGCGTCATCAGCCATGGGTACTTGCCAGTACCCCGAGCGCAGATCGAGAGAAGAAAAAAATTCGGCTCCGTGAAGGCTGTCAATTGCGTCATCGATGCGCGGCAGTGGGTAAACATCCTTGCGAGTGATCTTATTGAGCCGTCTGTAGTCTACACAGAACCGCGCAGAACCATCTTTCTTCGCAACAAGAACAACAGGAGACGCCCATGGACTGTCCGAGGGCCGAATAACGTCGCGTCTGAGCATATCATCAACCTGCTCGTTAATTTCCCGACGTTCAGCAGGCGACACGCGGTAGGGACGTTGCCGTAATGGTGGATGGGCACCAGTGTCGATACGATGCGTAACAGCGGACGCACGACCGAGAGAACTTCGCCCGACATCGAAAGAAGAACGATATTCTCGCAACAGGTTCAGAAGCTGGGAACGCTGTACCGACGTGAGGTTGTCATCAATGCAAGGGCCAAATACATCAGGAGATGACGAATCAGAAGTGGAAACAACACTGATGGTACGCAAATTGGGACAACGCGAGTCATCAGGTACGTCCAGGACTTGTGCGTTATCCACTGGTTCCACTCTGCCGAGACATTCCCCTCGAACCAAGGTAACAGTGTACGGGGATGGGTTGGTCACGAAAATAGAGGCGTTGCCCTGGGTGATTTGCACGGTCGCGAAAGGTACTAGCAACCCTTTCCTTCGGCAAGCACGGTCGGATGGCGAAACGAGTGCAATTGTGTCGGAGAGTCCAGCGCAGTAGACAGATACACCCATCGTGGAGCTTGGAGGCACTATGGTATCGTCTTTCACGAGAATCTTGCTCACTTTCGAAGAACTGTCTTCGGCGTCAAATGCGAGAAGGGGGAGAGTTCAATTTCGGCGGCGGCACAATGGATGACGGCGTCGTTGCGGGAGAGAAAATCCCACCCCAGGATGACGTCATGAGAGCATGCGGGAATGATGATGAATTGGGCGACATACAGAACGTCCTGAACGACAACGCGAGCTGTGCACCCTGCTGTAGGATGGATACGATGCAAACCGGCGGTACGAAGGGACAATCCAGAAATTGGCGTCGTCACTTTACGAAGCAAGCGGCAAAATTTTTCGTCCATAACAGATACTGCAGCTCCTGTGTCAATAAGAGCAGATGCGTGAACATCGTCCACAAGCACGTCAATGACATTAGATGGGCGGCTCTGAGGGCTTTCACAATGCGATAGCATCGCAGTCCTTGCCTCGGGGACTGCGACGACTAGTTTTCCCGCTCGTGAGGAGCTGAACTTGGCCGCATGGGGGACGGGGAACGACGTCGTGGAGACGGTGACCTACGAGAAGATGAAGCTAGGCGAGTTGGCGGTGGCATAGACGGCGTTTCCTCGTGATAGGTACGCCTAATCTGGCCAGCAACAGGCGACGAAATATGGGGCGTCTGTACGCGAGTGCAATAACGTGCTACGTGGCCGGCGTAACCGCAGGCAAAGCAAATGGGCCGGTTGTCGGATGTGCGCCATCGGTTCGCCGGGGTAGGTCTTGTCCATGACGCAAGAGCCGATGGACGGAACGGTGGCTGGAAAGGCTGCAGGGGGTGCTGGAGCTGAGTCTGAGAGGTCACGTCAACATACGTAGCCGGCATACCCGCTGCAAAGGATGGAGGTCGTGCGGCAGCTTCAGCGTAAGTCAGTGGGGCGGGCGCTTGAACGACTGGAGGCGGCCTGGCGACCACTTGGGCGTAACTTGGGGGTACAGGAGCCGGAAGCTGTTGTGGGTGGTACGCAGGCATAACCTCCGCTATTTCCTGCTCAATCGCTCGGCGGATGGGGGGGAAAATGGTAGTGGCCGATTGTTGAGCAGCCGGTGGGTGGGCGAAGGGCAGGAGAGAGAACTGCCGTGCGATTTCCTCACGTATGAAGGACTTGAGGTCTGCCAGCAGTGCCACCTGGTCGCAGCTCGCCTCCAAGCCTGCAAGCCCTGCATCTCGTGGTGTGGAGCGACGGGTCATCGAACGCTGCCGGCGGAGCTCCTCGTAGCTCTGGCACAGCGTGATGACCTCAGCTACTGTGCCTGGGTTTTTGGCCAGCAGCATCGTGAAGGCATCATCGGCAATGCCCTTCATGACGTTCCGGATCTTGTCTGATTCGGACATGCTGTCGTTGCATTTCTTGCATAGGTCCAAGACGTCTTCAATGTAGCTGGTGAATGATTCACCGGCCTGCTGAGCGCGTTCGCGTAAGCGCTGCTCGGCTTGCAGCTTACGAACGGCAGGGCGGCCAAAAACGTTGGTGATAGCGGTCTTAAAATCGGGCCAGGTTGCGAAATCAGGCGCGTGGTTGTTATACCACATGCCGGCCACACCCGCGAGGTAGAAAACCAGGTTGCCGAGTTTACCTGCCTCGTCCCAATGATTGGGGACGCTGACGCGTTCGTACATGACGAGCCAGTCCTCGACGTCGGTGCCATCCGCGCCGGTGAAGACAGGTGGGTCGCGGATGCGGGGGACACCGGAACATGGCGTCGGCGCAGGAGGAAGCGTTTGCTGGGCGGCGTCTTGTTGCATGGTTGAAGGCACGGTACGGGATCTAAGCTCCAAGGGCATCGAATGTGAACCGAAGATGTTTGAAGGGCACAGCACTCTCCACCAAAATGTTAAGGCGTTTAATAGCCGGTCCACAGCGAGCAAGCACAATGGCGACAGTAACGGCCAAGCACGGGCTCTCAGTGCGAGCGGCGTCCTTGTTGGGTAGCCCCACTAGAAGGTACTCAAGAGTTCGACCCATTTCATAGTTCGGAGGCTTCGCTACAATATAAACATTCTGGAAGAAATCTACAGGGAATCAACTGCTACCATAGTGCTTCATAAAGAAAGCAACAGAATACCAATCAAGAAAGGCGCAAGGCAAAGGGACACAATCTCCCCAATGCTATTTACCTCGTGCTTACAGGAGAGGTTTTCAGAAACCTAGAATGGGAACAGTTAGGGATAAGAGTTAATGGAAAGTACCTTAGTAACCTGCGCTTCGCCGATGACATTGCATTGCTGAGTAACTCGGGGGACAATTTGCAATTCATGATTTTGGAGTTGGACAAAGAGAGCAGAAAGGTGGGTCTTAAAATTAATCTGCAGAAAACGAAAGTAATGTACAACAACGTCGGAAAAGAGCAACGCTTCGAGATAGGTAATAGTGCACGTCAAGTTGTAAAAGACTATGTCTACTTAGGGCAGGTAATAACCGCAGAGCCGAACCATGAGATTGAAGTAACTAGAAGAATAAGAATGGGGTGAAGCACATTTGGCAAGGACTCTCAAATTATGACAGGTAGATTACCACTATCCCTCAAGAGGAAGGTATATAACAGCTGTATCTTGCCAGTACTTAGCTATGGAGCAGAAACCTGGAGACTTACAAAGAGGCTTCAGCTTAAATTGAGGATGACGCAGCAAGCAATGGAAAGAAAAATGGTAGGTGTAACCTTAAGAGACAAGAGAGCAGAGTGGATTAGGGAACAGAGGGGTTTAAGGATATCATAATGAAATCAAGAAGAGGAAATGAACATGGGCCGGGCATGTAGTGCGTAGACAGGATAACCGCTGGTCATGAAGGGTAACTAACTGGATTCCGAGAGAATGCAAGCGGGTTAGGGGGAGACAGCAGGTTATGTGGGCATATGAGATTAAGAAGTTTGCGGGTATAAATTGGCAGCAGCAAGCGCAGGACCGGGTTAACTGGCGGAACATAGGAGAGGCCTTTGTCCTGCAGTGGACTTAGTCAGGCTGATGATGATGATGAGAAACGTGCTTCCAATTTTGACGTTAGGAGCCGGTAAATGAGGTGACCGGAAGTTGTCTTGGGTACAACGCTTGTGACGTTGAAGCCATCTATAGCACGAGAACAGAACGACGACAAAGAGACAAGAAGGAGACGCCATAACTATTGTAGTGTCATACCAACTAGCTCAACCCGCCGCACTTCTAAGTGGCAATGCGTTTACAAAATGTGGCGAGAGGGAAAAAAACCAAGTGACCCTAATAAAAATCTAACTACTGCATAAAAAAGCAGCGGATTGGCATCAAGTTCACCATTGGGAGTCGGAAGAGTTATCGCAAAACGGTGCATACAAACCTGCGTGTGACCGGCGCACTTTTGAGGGCCGCGTTCTTTTAGGTTGGCAAGTGCCTCCTTTTCTCGCTCACGACCGACGGGGCCGACGCCGGCGGCAGGTTTGAGCGCGTTAAAATGTGCAGTTACAGGCTTTTGAAAGCTACGACGCGCGTCCGCCAAATATATACAGACGCTCTCTACAGCTTCAGTACTAGGGCAACTACATCGCCACCGCTACGATCGGCCGTCGGAACACCACCCGAGACGCGACTATGCAATACGACGCGGCCGTTCCAGTCGTTTCACTGCCCCCCGCCCCTTCTCACTGCACTAGCGGGGCAAGCTGGCGCCGGGGCCGCGCCACGTTGGCGCCTTGGCGCGACAGTGGAGACGGCGCCTCCTCTCTGCCTCGCTATCTGATGGAGTGCGTCGCGTGGACGGCAGTTTCGTGTTCGAGAAAATGTGCGCGTCTTCGAAGCTGTCTCTTTCGTCTGTGGGCTGCACTCACGCGCGGAGGCTTCGTTGGCTACGTCCAGGGAGTGACGATCTGCGCAAGTGGGCAACCTGGCAGCCTGCGTACGCAGTGTTGTCGCGGGCAGCCAACTGAAACTGTAATTAACGAGTTGATGCCGTTATGCGCGGTTTTGTACCAGTCCACGTTTTGGGAATGATACAATAAATTATCATGGAGGATCGTATGCTTATGCAGAGTATGTCTGCACCGCTGAAGGCACAATATGTCGCCTTTAGATGCGGTTTCGTGTAACCATAGCCTCCTATATAACTTTATAGAGGAGGCTATGGTGTAACTAATAACTTTTGCATCGGTAATAATGCAAGGTGTAGCTTGCTTCCACTCGCGCAAACGTGGAAAAGAAAGCAACGTAGGGAACACTTCGGTGTTCTAAATAAATATGATGGCTATTGTTTACAATTCGCAACGGCCACGGCCTATAGGTGGCGCGCCATGTAATCCAAGATGGGCCATGTAATCCAAATAAAGACGCGCCATGTAATCCAAATAAAGAAATAAGTAAGAGACGGTTAGAGTATTGGTGGCAGAAAATTAGAGAGAAAGGACAAAAATAAATATTGGAAAAATAAAATATGGACAGTGTGCCGTAAATGGCAGAGAACTTAAGCTGAAAATTTACCTTTTTTCCATTAAGATAGCATTTATCGAAGTAGAGGCATTAGGCCAACATAAAAAAAAAAGGAAAAAAGATTTTTTTTTTTCGTCGAGCCTGGTGGCATACTTGTCACCACCCCGTTATAAAGGGGACGCTCATAGCATCCATCCATCCATTCCATCCATGGGGCACTACGAACCCTTGTGTACCGTCGCCGATTCGACGAGAATACACGAGTGCGATGTGCCGGGAGTGCGGGCGGGAAGAATAAACCACCCCCCCATCTAGTGCTACGCTGTACGTGTTTGGGCCCACACCAACAAAAGGGCAACACACTGCCCGAGGCTCTGGGGTTTGTTCACAAAGATGACCCGGGGCCACACCAGGGCCACCCACAGGCGATGGAGCGTCTGGTACAGTGAACTATGCGGCAGACGGCAGTACGCACAACTAAAACAAGGCTGGTGCAGTGGTGGCGCACGACGCAGCGGTAATGATTTATGTGGACAAAATTGCAGGTGTGCAGATGCGAGTGTGTACGCCTGTGGAGTGTTTTGTTTATTTGTTTCTTTTTTTACTCTGGCTAGGGCAGATAATCTGGCCCGCCCGATCCAAAGGGATCAGCCTCAAATCATCATCATGATCACCAGATGGCTGCGGGAGAATGGTCAACCAGTGAACTCGCATAGGAAAAGATAGTACGCACGGACGTACTCCCCATGTCACTTTCACCGCATGAACTCTTCATCGTCAAATGAATGTATATCGAACCAAAGTACTTTCGGAACTGCTGAGTGTTCGCTACCTCATTTCTCGCCGCAGTGCAATGGGCGGTGGCGTCAGCTAATCTACCGTGCATCAACGACGCCTTCCGTAATCCTACGTGTGCTACAGAAAAATGCGCGAGCTCGAACTCACGTATGAACTGAACGGCACTCCGAAATCAATTGTGCAGGGCCTGTCAGGCGAATTTGCCGCAGTAGTAGGCCACTAGCGAATAGCACGCCGTCGCGGCTGCACAGGAACGAATGTTTAACGTAGTGGTGGTCTGGAAACATATTACGCCATCGTCATTACTTATATCTGTAAGCACCACGGAGTTGTTTCTTCAACGGTACACAAGCATTTAAGTTCCCACTAAGTAGCGCTGGTGTCACAGCCGTGATCAGACTCTAACAGTGCGCAATTCACTGCACTCGTGTATGTTGCCGGTTCCGTCAGCACGATCGCAATAAGGATATTTAAACGAATACACTCGTAGCTTATTGCAACGTCTAAATTGCGAAAATCTGCCGCACAACAACGTCCTTCGGACGGCACCAGTGCAGTGCAGAAGTTAGCGTGGACTGTAGTCGTAACTGCACATTTCATTGCTCTAACCATTTCGCTTCGCTGGTCGAGCTCGAGCATGTTGGCGGCATGCGACGCTTTGTAACATCCACTGTAATTGGGATACATTCAATGCACAACAAAAAAGTGTGCTTTTATTTTGAGCTCGCTGAAAGATATTAGACAATAAATACAATCAAAGTGACCTACGAGCGTGAAAAAGAAAGACATTAATGCACGACGGGACGTGAAGTGCAACTCTGCTCGTGAGCTAGCAGCCGATCGTTCATCGTCACTTTTACTCTCCGCGCGTAGACAACCATCAACGTCCAGTGAAAAATCGTCGACCTCAGGATGGTTTCTTTGAACATAACTGCTGAAAGTAATCTGAAAAAGCGAACCCATTGCTACTTGATACGCATTACTTCAACAGAAAAACAAACAGGTAACAATCAGAGCGCGCACACACGCACACACGCGCGCGCGTGCGCGTCAGAATAAATTATAAGTACGCGGGCCGTGATAATGACAACACTACCGATAACACCTTCCAGCGCAACAAGAGCTCAGCGGCACAACTAATCGGCAAACAAAACATCGCAATACATTGGGCATGAGCGAAATTGGGCGAACGGGCCAGATGTCAACGAATATTTCTGCACTCTGTTGCGGGAACTGCTCCGGGAACCCGTGACAATTGTAACTCATCCTGCCATAGTTTCGTGATCGCCTACCGCAACTGTACAAAATGGCGGGGCTAGCGCCATGGGCGAACACCGAGGAGTCAGGAAAAATGAACCTGTTTTCACGAATATTATAACGAAAATACGAGAGCCTGTCGCGCAGGCTGTCGGACTTACCGAGTGGTTCACCAGGCGCGCTTCACCACGTGCAATGTTGTGGTCAGTGCGCAGAACGATTTTTCGCCGTATTCCACAAATACCCGGTCTTCCAGCGCCTGCAATGTTCCTCAGGCCTCACACTCAAACCTTCCAACGCAACACGAGTTGTACCACCACCACGGTCAAGCCACCGACTGCAAGCTAAAAAAAAAAAAATGTATGTGTCCGCCGCCAGTCCTCTCTCTCAACCTTTGGGGGTTATTCGGTTTCTCTGGTGTTGCTCAACGCGTACTCTACGCCTGTCGGTGGCGCCCTCCTTCGTCATACCTTCGCAACGGCTGATTGCTCCGCGAACGGCAATCTGAGCGCGCGCGTTGTGCGCTGCCGAGGCGTAGTCTGGTTGTCCTAGAGTGCCTCGATGTGCGCGCGCCTCCGCTATAAGTTGCTCAGCCATGAGACGCGCGCAGAGTATCGTTTTCGCCTGTTCGTAATACATATCTCCTTTAGATTCAGGCTTGAATTGGTGATTGGTAGCGACCGCTGGTTCTGGCTGTACTACGTAGTACTTGAAGTGCAACTATTGTGCCGTTTCCTACGACAATGAACTCTCACTGGAGAGTTTATTGTCAAGGGACTCATGGAAATTGTTCAGAGAACGGAAAATCACTAAGCTGAATATTCACTTGAATACGGAATAACATTGGGCACCTCATGAAACAAAAAAAAGTGAAATACAATTTATTTGGAGAGTTTAAATTTTCATCAGGAATGGCGACCGTACAGCGCCAAAAAAGACAAGCTCTCTGGACAGACTACGTTTTAAATGCGAATGTATATCTTAGTCGGCCTATGTCAGGCGTCCGTCGGAATCTGGAAACAATCTGGAATCGGCAGCGTTGACTCAATGGGTGCAAAGAATAAAAATCGGGATCCCAGAAGGAATGGAAATCCAGCATTTGGTGTGGCAGTCACGTATTCTAGCACATACCGCGCAAGGTATTGTATCTGCTTTGGTAAAGGTACTCTGCAGACAGTGCAGTACTCTGAAGTTGGTGCAAAGTGATTACGGTTACTATGCTAGCTATCTAAATTTATAACAAGGAGGTGAACATTCCATATGTACTCCTACAAGACAGATACACGTAATGTCAGGTTAACATCAGTTGTAGCTTCAGTATCGCACCGCAAGGAGACTTCAAGGACAATCTTCACCGCAGAAATTTCTGAAAATTTTCACTAGATTAGAACATTCCCCGGTAACATTTTCATTTCCTCGTAACATTAATTAAGTGATATCTGCTGTGAAGGAAAACTTTGCCTTAGTTGTTGGTTTCCCCAGCGTCCAGCCGACAGTGACCACTGACAAAAGTGGGAGGGGGGGGGGCTCCGCCTCTTTAACTTTTCTCAGTGCGGGGGAAGGTAGCTCGCCCCCCCCCCCCCCACGGCTGATACGCCTATGGCGTACTAGAATATTCTAGTACACTATAGTGTAGGAGAGGGTAGCTGCAGTGCTTCGCCGTTCGCTCGCTCTCCCCCCTACGCTCCCTCTCCCGTCCGCTCGCTTGTACGTATTGTCATGATGAGTCACAAGTACTGGGCGATTTATTAAATCACCGAGTAGCTAGCTCTAGGAGGATGCGTCAGTCGTGGCAGGCTCTGGAGCAGAGAAGCAGCACGCGATCTTTTTGTCTCCACATTTAGAGCCGCTCTTGCTGTCGACCCACTACGTGCTGGTGGCATTATCCCCCCTTCCGAAAAAAAAACAAGTCCTAAAAGAGGAAAGAATAATACATAGCAGCACCGCGATGCTACGACATAGGCACGTGAAAAAAAAAATGGAAATTCAGATAAAGTGAAAGTAGAAATTGAAGAGCGTGCCAATATAGGAAAAGTGAATGAACGAGACAGCAAGTTCACAAAAATAAACAAAAAACACGGAGAACGCTGTGCGGTAAAAAAAAATTACGAAAAACGGGCAATAAATGGTTTCATGCGCAACACATGAACGAAGCCCGGGCTCGGTCGTG